TCTTCTGGTCAGGCCTAGTATTTTCTCCTCATATTGTGTATGGAGCCTCATGTCCAATTGTCTGTCTCAGCCCTCACTGACTGTTATGGGACAATTTCTCCTTCAAGGAGACAAACAGCGTGATTGAGAATGACAGAAGTGGATGGTAGAGCAGTTAGTGGTGATGTGGTTGGGAGGGTGAAGTGGATGAGAGCTCTTGCATGTACATGATATGTGCAATGGTGAGAGTTGCAGTCCATGAGACTTGGCAAATTAGTGTATTAGAGTTAGTGTGAATGCTAATCCTGGGAATGTGAGGGAGCAGAAAGAAAATAGTGGCATTTACACTTGTGAAGCACAAGAGACCATTAAACTGCCTTCTGAAGTGCTACTCACTCTGTTTTACCTGGGACACGACACTGACCTGACTGCTATTGCATTCCAGGCTGGCTGCCTCTGGTGATATGCCCAGTACCTCTAGCTCTCTGCTGGTGATGCGGGAAGTTAACTCGATTTACTGGGTAATCTGTGATAATGATGCAACACCACAGTCCGAAGGGCAGTTCCTGGCTTGCAGTGGCATGTGGCTGGCTTTAAATATGACCCCAGCAGCACTGAAGCTCAGTAGTGGTGGGTTTTTCCAACTCTTCACGTAATTCCTCAAGAAGGGCACGCACAGCCCAGATGCATAATTATTGAGGTGAAGAGTGGAAGACTGCATAAGAAAAACCACAGTAAACCACCACAGACCAGGCGCAATAAAACACTTGAACTCAAAATGATGACATTCCACCCACAGGGTAAGTCTAATGCCGGAGAGGTTTGCTGTTTGTTTCTTAGTGGTACAGTTGCATTACTGGAAGTTCACCAGCCCTGGTCAGAAACACTCAAATATGTGGAGAGTCAGTATTTAGCTTTAAACATTGACATGATATCGATTAACAAGTTTGGAAAAGATATAAAAATGTAACAGGTAAACAAATATATCCAGACAAATATTGGACAGGGAGTTATGAAGCCTAACATTACTGTTGGATTTCAGATCCCAATATTAGGCTGAAACCATCCTGAACCATCACATGCCGATAGTGTGGCACTGGCTTTGTGATTTAACTGCAGACAACTTCTGAATAAGTGCCTCAACATCATGGGTTGCGCCTTCAGACGAGTTTGTGAAATCAAAATTTAGGGGACTGAGGGTCTTAGACTTCACAGGATGGAGGGGAATACATAGTTCGTGGCCCATTGAGGTGAGCATCCTCCCCATGTTTGGCCACAGGGACTTCAATGTTGATGACCCACTGCACTGTCACAGGGAGGCAGCTTACATGAAAGTTAGCAGCCTTCCTACACAGTGGGAACTGCCCCGTCTTCAGCAAAATATCAGCATTCACACTTAATGGTCCTTATTTTGGGTCTTGAACACACACATCAGCTGGCTACCTCTGGGTAATTAATCCACTGCTATAGCCCGCGGTGGTGAGAGAGCACTGGGAAGCTAGCCAAGTAACCTCACCACTTCAGTTCCAGTATAAAAGACAAGTAATATCAACAGGCTTGTGCCTTGCAAGTATTTGAACTGCTGCTATTAGTCTTGATCCTGCAACAATGTGCCCTGACCTCAGAATGCAAATTTGAAAACTAAATGGCTGAAAATTGTCCAGGTCCCAGCAATGCTAGCCATTATCTTAATGAGTGTACAAATTTGCCAATTAAGTATGTGATATCATAGGTACTTAGCCCAACAAACTAGAGGGTACATCAACCCATAAGCATTTCCCTTTTACTATATTGTTTCTTAGATTCAAGTTGGTTTCCTTTCAGCCAGTAAAATGTTTTAATTTGTAGCGTTTCCATGGAGCCATAATACTAGCCAAAGTCCTGAAACTCTCTTAAGCACTCAAAAGCTTTTCAATGTAACAGCTTCTGCCATAAAATGTCATTAGATGAAGAACGTATGACAGCATTTCACATGTAATATCAGTACACCATTTAACAGCTTTGCAATCTGACCATGTCTGGTCGGACAGGTAGAAAAGTAGGTTGTCAAGAGGAGGTAGAGAGTTTGAAAGGGGATACAGACAAAAATTGGCAGATGGAGTACTATGTGGGTAAATGTGAATTTGTCAGCTTTGGCAGGCAGAACAGAAAAGTAGTATGCTCTTTAAGTAGAAGAGGGGTAGCAGAGCTTGGTAGCATTGAGGGACCGGAGTGTCCTGCTAAGGAATCACATAAAGGTAGTTTTTAAAAATATCTTAATGGTACATGAGCAAGGCCAGCATTTATTGCCCATTCCGAATTGCCTTTGAATTGAATGGCTTTCTAGACCATTTCAGAGCATACATTAAAGGTCATCTGGAGTCTGGGTAAGGATGGCCGATTTCCTCCAATAAAGGACTTTATGAACCAAAACAATTGATCGTAGTTTCATGGCACCATTAGTGAGACAAGCTTCTGGTTCTGCATTTAGTATTTGAAAGTAAATTTCACCTATTGTCATGGTGGGATTTAAACACAAGTTCCCAAGGCATTAGTCAGGGCCTTGGGATTACTAGTGCAGTGACATGACCACTAACTCACCATCTCCCTGATAGTATGCAGGTTAAATAATGGAGAAGGAAGACAATTCTTTTCCCCTTTATTCATTCTCAGGATGAGGGCATCGCTGGCTATGCAGCATTTATTGCCCATCCCCAAAGAGTCAACCAGATTGCTGTGGGTCTGGTGTCACATGTAGGCCATACCAAGAGAGAATGGCAGTTTCCTTACCTAAAGGATGTTAGTGAACCAGATGGGTTTTTCTGACAATTGGCAATAGATTCTTAATTCCAGATTTTGTTCTTAATTGAATTCAAATTCGACCATGGCGGGATTCAAACCCAGGTTCCCAGACATTATCTGGTCTCTGGATAACAGTCCAGTGCTAATACCATTAGGCCATCGCCTCCCCGCCAAATTGCAAAGGGAACAGAATATATAAAACTTACTGCAACTTTACAGGGTCTTGATGACAGAGTCACAGATTGGTCTCGTGCACAGATTTGGTCTGCTTATTTGAAAGGAAGACATTATTACAATAGAAGCATTCACATGATTTATTTTTGGGATGAGGCATTTTTCTTATAAAAACTGATTAAATAATTTTCACACATACCCATTGATGTTTAGAAGAACAAGAGATGATCTTATTGAAACATATGAGATCATGAGGGAACCTGACAGGAGGGGTAGTGGGAGCACATTTAGTGGAGACACAGTTTACAAATAACAGGTCTCCGATTTGGGACTGAACTAAAGAGACTTCTTTTCTTTCAGAGGATCTTTAGGTTATGGGGACAGACAAGAAAGTGGAAATGAGACCATGAGTACAGCCATGATGTTACTGCATGTCGGAACAGGCTTGAAGTGCCAAATGGCCTATTCCTGCTCCCAAATTCTATGTTCCCATGTTATATGCCAGATTTCCCTTTGTTCCTTCAGCCTTTTACTAAGCTCTCACTGGAAAGCATTTCCACTTCTTGTCTCTGGGATGCCTTTAAAAAGCTCCATTTTAGCTGCATGAACTCGCTATGGAATTAGTGTCTGTTATATTTTGTTGCATCTCAGTTGGCGTCTTTCTGCTCATTTCAGCTTAATACACTATATTAGGCAGAGAATGTACAATGATCTTTCTTGGTTTCTGTTAAAACAAATGCCAACTTTTCAATCATGGAAATCCTGATTCAATTCAGGATTGAGTTTCTAAACTATGAGCATTTTAAAATTCTTTAATGATACAGAACAAACACAATGTTCTGTATCTTTCAAGGTACCGACCTGGATATAAACTTCGGGTCTCAGATTTTAAACAGGTAAATTCCATACCCTCCAATAATTTTTCAAATTCAAAGCCAGGCAACAAATTGAGTATAAAATGGCGGAAAAAGTTAAGTGCTACCCACTACGAAGATGTTATATGGACTTGTGGTCTGAATATCTTAGGATCTTGAAGGAATCAGACGTAACATCCAGGTCCTACTCATGGTCTCTGTAACTTGTTCCTAATAATCTGCTCAGAGTTTTATTACACACCTGTGGAGCAGGTGGAACTTGAACCTGGGTCTACCTGGCTCAGAGGTAGGGACACTTTCACCACACTACAAGATCTCTAGTCTCTATAAACAAAACCTTTCATATTGATATAACTTGTAACTAATTACTAACATTTAATTAACTGACTTTTGCTCAATAAAAGAGCCTCTTCTAGTTAGACCAATAAGTGGTTTTTCCATTCCCCTACTAGCCCAAGTGGGCCCTGTAGATCCATAAACTCAAAGATGATGGTGGCAGCAAATGTACCCCATAGTTCAGAATAGATTTATCTCCACATACAACAATTTGCAGTTGTTTTGTGTATTGAGCGAACAGATGTAAGGTACAGGATGCTGAATACACAGAATAAGCTACCTGAGGAAACAGGTAGTGCTGACACATTTAAGGAAAAAATAGATAGATAGATGGAATAGGAAGTAGTTGGATTTGGATTTGTGAAATGAATGGGCAGAAGGCAATTTTAGATGAAAAACTAGAAGAACTGGGGATGCTGGAAATCAGAAACAAAAACAGAAATTGCTGGAAAATACTCAGCAAGTCTAGTAGCATCTGTGGAGAGAAATTAGTTCTGAAGAAGAGTCACTGGATCCGAAACGTTAATGCTGATTTCTGTCTACAGATGCTGCCAGACAATTTTAGATGTTGAGATAACAAGGTGTAGAGCTGGATGAACACAGCAGGCCAAGCAGCATCAGAGGAGCAGGAAAGCTGACGTTTCGGGCCTAGACCCTTCTTCAGAATGGGATTGCCTAGATTGGCCAATCTTCAGGTCCTGTGTATCACTATGTCCCTGGTTAAGTGGTGTCAAGCTTGTCTGCAGACCAATCTCAGCTGGTGGTAAGCTTTGAGCCCACTTAAAATTACAGTGGACAATATAGTTAAAATCCTGGTATCTGATTGCATAGCCCTTCTTGAAACTGGAATGTCATCAGCTAGAACTTGTTCTGCCATAAGTCTCCCTTGGTGCAGCACACCAGCAAAAGCTGAAGAAGTGAGGGGGTAGTAAATTCAAACAACTCTTGTGAATGTGAGATGGATGAGAAGTCAAATGTGGCAACCTAGCAGCTAAACATCATTCATGCTACACAATGAAATTTAGTGCAGGCATTCAGGCCTGTGATAATATTGATAATATTTTTTTGTGCAGAATTCATCCTCCCCCCTCCCCTTGCTATATTCAACTTCTACCTAATTGAATTATCAATAGTTTCCTGTTTCTGCCTTTGCATGGTTGTCACTTATTTGTCTTTGCCTGCTTAGCTTATATAATTCTTTACTAGCAGTATTTCTATTCCTTGAATGTGCCATGTACTTTTCATCTTTGCTTGTTTTAAATTCATTATTGTTTTTCAGTACTTTAGAAACCACCTTACCACATCATCATTCAACACTCAGTAATAGCTTCCTTGAGAACTCAAATTCCACTGCACTGTCAAGCTACCTCATAACATTCAGTCTCGATGGAACCCAATTTTACTGCAATTAAATATAAGGAAGACCAAAGCCATTGTGCTCGGTCATTAATATAAAATCTGCTCCCTCACCACAGATTCTGGTCCTTCCTGGCCACTGTCTCACATTGCACAAAGGTTTTGCAACCTCGGTATCCATTTGATTCTGAGCTCAGTTTCTGATTCCATTCCCACTGCAGTTCACTGGATGCATCCTGTTACCGGTGTTGCATCACCCATCCAACCATCTCCCCCACACCTCCTCCAACCTTCCCCTCCCAAACTGCACCTTTGATCATAAGCTGCTGAAACCTTCAAGTTTAGTTTTCTCACTTCCAGGCTACATTACTTCCACAATCTCCTGGCTGGCCTCCTGTAACCTCTGTAAACTTGAGCTCATCCAGAACTCTGTAGCCCTTATCCAAAGCATCAAACTGAAACGTATCCACTTGATGTTGAAATCACTTTATAGTTTTCCCTGCAATCTCCTGCAACTCTCCAAAGCTCTGAATTCATCCAATTTTTACTAACCTTAACTCCCTTCACCGTCATCGTTAGTAGCCATACAGTCAATTGTCTGGGCATATGCTCTCTCCTCCTTAAAACCTATAATTTTCACCAACTATTTCTTCGTCTCACTTAAAACTTCCTTTGATTCTGCTTCAAATTTTTATCATTACACTCCTGTGAAGTATCCTCTCCTGCATTAAACAAGTGATAAAAATGCAAGTTGTTATGGTGTTGTTATTTCCCCAGTAGGTTCCATTCTGTCCAATCTGGATATGGTTCAGATTTATGACCCTTCTTTCCTGTCTGATTCGAGAAATGACACAGAATCACATCACTAACACCCAGAGACAGAAAGAAATCATGCCACAATTTGACAGAGACGGAGACAGAGAGAATAAAGCACCAAGACAGCGCTCGGTGCTGGTGTACCAATATGCTGCGGAGTGTTAGGACGTGTTGCCATGCCTGAAACTCCCCACGCGCTGAGTTCCCGATTTCTCGGCGAAGAATACTGCATGCCGTAGAGGGGAAATGCTAAATAAAGGGGAAAAAAGTCATATTTTTAAAAAGGGGAATCAATTGAATAAAATATAATGCAGGAAGTCATTGACCAAAAATGATTAAAGTTCACATTTTTGAAAATGAAAAGACTCTGGTCAGAATTAACTAATATCTTTCCACACATCCCTTCAATTGACTATTGATTGTGGTCTCACGCCTAAACTGTCTTGAATTCTTTGGCTTGGCACTATGTGTCATGTCATGTTTTAAATGTGTGCTCGTCAGCAATTTCCTCATCCACCGAATCTAATTAATCGGTATCATGTGAAACAAAATATCGATTTTGCTAACCGTTATTTTCAGGTTAGATCAGGGTGCCTAAGCTGTGAATTTATTTTAAGAGGAGTGAATGTCTAGAAGGCTTTCTATAATTCATTGAAAACAAATATGCTTAATTTCAAGCACTGGAACTGAACATTCTGCCGGTTGCACATTTTCCTCATTTTGTAATGTTTCTCTCACTGAACTGTTGTCATCAATTGGAAATTGCAATAATTACTTTGCCTGGGCATGCAGCTAAGGCCTTACATGGAAGCATATGAAATACTGTGCCAACTCTATGTAAATAGGCTCCCAGCTGATTTTTCAACACATCTGATAATTTCTTCAATGAAATTCACAAATTGGTAGTTCAAGGCTCTTTCACTCGTTGCATTGTTGCTTTGACCTGATTTGAAATGACAAATCTCAGAAACGTTTTGCAAAACAAAGGAATATAAAAAAAAACTGGTAGCTTTGAAAAATCAGCTGCTTATTTGCCATAAACCCATTTTGTGTTTCTGGCATAGAGAAATTTTACCCTGAAATGTTTAATTATAGGAAATACAGTTACAAAATTTGAGCATGGTCATGGTTATAAGTAATATTTTTGATCTTAAAGTTCAACAAACAGCATCTTACTTTGTAGATTAGTCTCAGGACAATTGCTCACTTCTCCAATAGTGGAATGTGTGTTGCATAAAATTCAACCCACAATTCCTTTATTATTCCTTCACAGATTTTCTCCCATTTGTTTGAAAGCATGAGATTCCTGTTGGAATCTCTTCTTCTTACAAATAAGCTTCATAGGAACATGCCTAAATTAATGAATGAACATATCACCTTCAAAAAGATACTTTCATATTCAACCTTAGCCGTTCTTTAAAGGATATCTGATTGAACACACTGCTTAAAAAGTCAACTGTAACAAATTAAATCAAATATTAATGGAATATCATTTAGAATTGTTGTATAGTGTGTATATGGTCAGCATTTTATGAAAATTAAACATAAAATGAGTTATGAAATGTGGAATTTAATTGTATTATTTCATGGGATTTTTCTCAGAGGTAATTAATGACCAGTTTTATCCAGTTGTTGGACTTGACTCAGGTTTAAAGATATTTTACAGAAAAAAAATGCCTAAAGTAATTTTGTCCCAGCCTCATTAGCAATTGAAATCTTAAATACAGTCAGGAATCTTAATGGGTTTACTCATTGTAAGTGGACTTATTGCTTTTATATGGATTTCTATCTTTTGTTTTACATCAATATCCGATTCTCAAGTTCCTCCCAATATGTAACATTCCAGGTTAGTAATTTTACAACCAGGAACCTAAGTGATAACCATTTTCAGTGAGCTTCCAAAGGAACATACACTGGAGAGATATTCTTCCACACTTTTTAAACTATTTCTTTGTCTTTTCCAGCAGATTGACCTCCAATGGGCATTTCCATTAAAAAAAACGCTTGTGAGCATACTACTGGCTGGCCATATCATTGTACAGTTGTCATGCCCTTAGTAAATTTGTAAGGAAACAGTCAAAATGTTTTGAAGTGTGTTCTTTAGTGTCTTGTCGCCATAAGAACGAACTTAGTGTATCATAGATAGTAGGAACTGCAGATGCTGGAAAATCTGAGATAACAAGGTGTAGAGCTGGATGAACACAGCAGGCCAAGCAGCCTCATA